CACACACACACACACACACACACACACACACACACACACACACACACACACACACACTAAAGACACGGCTGAAGTCTAGCCTGACAGCGTGCCATTAGCCTCCCTTCCTGTGTGTCATGATCGCTGTATCAGTGCATGTGTGCAGAAATTTGTGTGTGCTTTGCAGAGAAATGACCGCACACACACACACACACACACACACACACACACACACACACACACACACACACACACACACACACACACAGATCTTGCAGAACACGTCTGCTTCCGATCTTTTGATTTCTGTTCCAAGTGAACTGGAGCAGAACTGCTCTCCGTTTGGTAATCAATTGGACGCTCACAGAAATGGAGTTTTTTTTCCACCCACATCCTCCCACACAACACACACACACACACACGCACACGGCGGCATGCACATGCATACACACTGCGTTTCAACTCCCTGGCGTGCTGAGAAGATTGGCTGCAGAAAGACACGATAACGACACCTCCCACACCAAAACATGCAAGTGAACAGCATGCACATGAGCACAGACACCCACAATCGCACACGCACGATTAACAGAAACACACATTCCCCGAGGCATTACATATGAGTTTCACGGCGCCCTCTGACATTTTAGAGTGTTCACTGTCTGGCCCAACGCTTTCTGAGTCTGGGGAACTTTTATAATCGATATTACACAACAGCAAAGTAAAAGTACGGCTGTAACTCAAATATATATTTGTGTTTTATTTAAACTGAAAAAATGAGCTAAAGAACGGGGTAAAAACAAAATCCAGATTTCTCACTAAAGCCACTGATGCCAAAATAAAAGATTTCACTGTCCATCTGTAGCTCTGCAAAATGTTTCAGTCTGTACAAACTGTCCTACAAAGAGACACGCAAGGAGTCAGTATCAGTATCTGGACGCCAAGTGGAAAAGTCTGATTCTGACAGTGTGTCTGTGCGTGTGTGTGTTTTCCCCTGTCCGGTCAGCTGTCCGAGAGATGTGAGTGCTGGATGTTATAATCTACGACAGGGTCAAGGGTTTGTTTCCTTAGCAAAAAAAAAAGAAAAAAAAGTGATGTGAAGTCAGATAGGGGGAAAACAAAAGTGAAATAAGATGGTATGAGGCAAGTGGCCGGAAGGCTCTACACACTAATACGTGCTCTTTCAAACCACAAGAGCTTTTCAGAGCCACTAATTCATTTTACAAAGCTGGTTGTGCACTAATTCCCGTAATTAGCATGACTGAGGGGAGGGGGAAGGCAGGAAAAAGCACTGCGCTCCAAATACTACTGTTGCCAGATGTTTTTCATTTCACACTCACATGCACACAGACACTTCTCTAAACACATATATCATTTAAGGCTGCAGGCATGGAAAGGATGCCACCTAAATCCACATTCCTCACACTCACTAACACACCTTTCCTGGAGGAGATGAGTCTAGCGAGCAGCTCACTGAGATTGGCCCGGGAGTCTGCATCCTCCTCAGCCAGAGGAAGAGCTTTCAGCTGGGGGGCAGAGCGCCTGTGTCGGAGGTGGAGATCTCCCAAGGTGTGGGTGTCAGCCTCAAGGACAGCTGCTCAAAACAGGCAAGAAAAGCACGAGTCAGGCACAAAAACTCACTGTGATGGCGAGAAACGTGTCGCAACTTTTACCTTCAGAGAGAGCAGAGATGGGGCGCTGGCCCTCGTCTAATGGCTGGGAGGAGAAGGGGAGCCCCAAACAGCTCGCACACAGGACTGCCAGCACGACACACACACACAGCCCAGCATTCATCTGAGAGCGGTGGGAGAGGAGCAAACAGAAGTTTAATGAGAAGGAATCAGAGATGCAGTCCAGAGTGAGAAACGACAGCTTGGACCATCTGCCAGACAAGCGCTCCTTCACAACTGAAAATTACTCTGACTCAACACATTAATGAGGGCAGCATATTAACATATTAACACAGTCACCCGCGCGCAACACACTCTGGCCTCATTAGATAACTGAGGGTAGATATCATGAATGCAGCTTCACCAGGTGGAAGTGACTTGATTTTTATTGCAGACAAAAATGTCCATTTTGATTTTGGGAAACGTCTCTGGAATTTGTTTTATGAATTCGTGTCAAATCATATTAATCAAATTGTATATATATAGAGGGAGCATGTGTAGCTTTCAAAGAATTAAAGCTTAGCACAAAAATATCAGATTTTATCCTCTGTACCTCACTTTTTGTCTGTTTTAGAAAAGTGTTTGAATTTTGAAATGATTATAAAGAAAACAAAAGAATAATAAAAAAGAAGGAAATTCTTAGTTTAACAATCCTCATAAAAGCCTCAAATCACCTGCCACAAAGCAAATAAAGCTTACCTTGAGAAAAGATCTTCAGCGCGTTTATAGGAGTGTGTGAGAGTGAGAGCACTTCTGCGCTGAGTGGGAAGGATGCCCCTTTTATACTCCCTGCTCAGCGCCCTCAGAGTGTGTGTCTGCGTGTGCGTGATTTGCCTTGAGTGTGCATCCTGTGTATCCCTCTGAATGTTTGAGAGCCGTGCGCCCAGCGTGCTCGTTACAGTGATACAACGGAGAGCTTCACTTTTATTGTTTGTTAGCTTATCATAAAACTCCACGTCAAGAGCTGCCTGTTTGACATCCAGTGACACTGCGTTATATGTGTGTGTGTGTGTGTGTGCGTGTGTTTAATCGTGAACGTATCTGTGAACATTGCACACGACATTGAATCATTCTGATCTGAAGTAAAGCCTCAAACTGCTATTTAAATGTTGAGAAGTTCTACAGTATCCATGTAGGAAAATCGAGGACATTCATAATGCATGTGTGTGTGTGTGCACACGTGCATGTGTGTGTGTGAGTGGGGGCCGTTTGGCCAGGCATGTGTAGGTGTGAGTGTTTGTGCACACCCACATATGTGTTAGATGTCAGTGGCTGCTTAAAAAGTGGGCGGAAGCACAAATGAGAATCTTTGGTTTTGCTCATTTAACAGTTGACCGATCTTGAAGTGAGACATCCTCACCATCCACCTACTGTCTCTCTCCCCCCACCCTCTCTGCTTCTCTAACCACGCAGTATTAACCCGCCTCATTGATCATGCAGGTGCAAATCGGTTGATTGCTATGGATCAGCTGTTATGGGTTAACAGTTTTATTAATGAGGCTGATTTTCCCGATGCTGGTGGACGACTTAGAGCGCCGGGGCTCTTCTTACCTGCTGAGATAGCATAGCGTCAATAAGGCTGTTAAATAAGGTTAAAGTGAACAATTGAACTGCACAAGAGGAAAGCAGACGTCCTTTTCTCACAAATAGACTAATTAGGAGAAACATGAGTGGCGGGTCTGAAATGGAGAGGACGTTGAAGCTGTACTTGAGCAATGTTTCAAAGCAGCTACAGTTTACAGTATGCTTACATCTCCATGAAATATGGATTAATTGCTTATCTGCTGTCAAATAAGTGAAAAACAATCACAATTCCAAGATTCTTTGAGGGGTTTCTGTTAAAAGCAATAACTGTTTTTGACATTTACCTTCTTTACTTTGCTTTTTTTTTTGCCAGTGCAGATGAAAAATCTCTTTAAAGACACCATCCACTGTTTAAAAGATGAAGATTTTAAATGTACACCTATATACATTTATTTATTTATTTTAACCTGTCCTGTCCAGAAGTTGTACTGCCAGACATACATAAAAACACTGAGAGTTAGCTGCATTTAAGCCACAAGTCACAAATAGAAGCTGTATTAATGGTGTGACCCTGTAACAGAGAGATTAGAAAATTGCTGCAGTTTTTCTCACACATTTAATACCATGTTTGAATTGATATTTTTGCATTAGCAAAGTGGAAAGGTTTGTAAAATATGCAAAGCTGCACCAGATGAAAGCTTACATCATCAGTGTTTAATATGAAAGAGGTCACTCGCAGTGTCAAAGACCCAGGAGAAAATAAATATGTCATCAGTACCAATATTCATTTCACTGTATCCTGTGTGCTTTAAATAATTACATATTAGTCATAAAAGTCTTCCTTCTCTCACCTCAACCAGTCGCAGCAGATGGCCCCGCCCCTCCCTGAGCCTGGTTCTGCCGGAGGTTTCTTCCTGTTAAAAGGGAGTTTTTCTTTCCCACTGTCGCCAAAGTGCTTGCTCATAGGGGGTCATATGATCGTTGGGTTTTTCTCTGTATGTATTATTGTAGGCTCTACCTTACAATAAAAAGCGCCTTGAAGCAACTGTTGTTGTGATTTGGCGCTGCATGAATAAAATTGAATTAAATCCCACTTCCTTCGTTGCTATTTGGTCAGCTGTGCCACTTGAATGCATTTAATATTTCACCAGAAAAAAATGCTGTCGGTTCAAAACCAAAGAAACAAATATATAAATATCACCCCGCAGAGTAAATTTCTACATATCAAACTTAGAAAACAGTCCACTTTGACGATGTACTCTTTCTGCTTTTTGCAGAACATCACCTGCAGCGAGTTGCCTCCCTTTAACCCACATCTGCATCTCTAAACAGAGGAGGACAAAAGTGCTCGATTTACTGAGATCAGCTGCAAACTTCTGGAGTTGGAGAGTCAATAAATACGTGAAAATGACTCTCTCAGTCTAATGGAGCCCGAGTTCCAGCTGTGACTGATTAAGTGAATGGCGGACAGGTTAAGGTTTATCTTTTCATTTAGCAGGGTGGCTGCTACTCTATATCAGCTCATCACAGCAGCTGCACTATCATTTGCAGAGCCAACAAACTGTGCGGGTAATGTCTTCAGAGACATCCTTCATAACACGGTTTTCTACCTGGAGAATGTTGCAAGAACTATAGCTAACAGAAGAAGCTGCACACTCTGAAATGCCAGTGCTTGGTAGCTTAATAAAAAGCTGAATAAATCTAACTCATCATCATCTGCTGAAATCCCAAGAGAGTTCCTGGTTTTAGTGTTGTTTGATCTGTAAACTGTTTTAAGATATAAATACTGATCCCCACCAGGAATGAAAATGGTTTAACAGATGAACGGAGCCCAACACCTCCAATAAATCCCACCATGGACGTCGCTATCATGATGCTAGCTATTGGTTTTGGATTGAGCATTTTGAACCCCAAGAGTTAGCATTTTAGTTAGTTAGCTGCCACGTTGGTTGGTTGTATCTGGTTGAACAGGTGCAGTGCTAACATATCAGCTAGCTAGCTTTAGTAAGCTACTGCATTTCGTTGCCCTGTACCTGTGACATGTGCAATGACAATAAAGTTGAATTTTATTCTATTCTATTACCAAGCTTGCTAGTGACCCTGAATTGGATAAACAAAAAAAATGACCAGATGTAACCAAAAGCTAGTGGTTTCCTTGCTTTTGGTCAGTGGCTTAATAAGCTAGCTTACTAAGCTTGCTAGTAAGCGAGATGCATCCATACACAATGCAACGCACAGACACAGATACCCAAATCTCCCACACTGGAGCACACACTTCTTAGAGGGGCCATTAACTATATTAACCATGGAGCCATCAATATTATTTGTCTTAACTGCATTAATAATGCACCAAAATGAAGAGTAAAAACTGGCCTCACATTTGTCAGATGGACATTAATATGAATCTAAGTAAATGTCAGAAATCCAATGTAGCTGCTGGATGTGTAAAAATGTCATTATTCAGCACCAACTGCTGGGATATTTCTCAGTGTTTTCTGCTTTCATCTGTTGCACACTTGGATTAAGATGAATCAAAACCAGTGTAGCTTTGTGAGTTTCGCCTTTACTGATGCAAATGTATATACATGGAGCAACGTTACTCATTTGTACAATCGCTCACAGCTCTTTTAGGCGCACTGTGGTTAGTCTTTAAACTCAAAACACTAATACTTCTTACAGTACATCAAGGAAATAAACATAAACAAAAAAGTGTGATTCACCAGTCTTCATCTACAGGTATAGATCCACAAAAGCGCCACGAGGTTTCCACACAAACTAATGAATTAGCTCTTTTTTGTCCTTACACATCAATGCCCCCAAGCAGCCAAAAAAAAATATAAGGTTTTATGTTTTATATAATTTGCATTAGATATCATAACCTCACCAGGTTGTGTAACTGTTGTAAACTGTTTACTGACATCATAAAAAATATTATGGTACTTCAGTGAGAACCACTGTAGTTAAAAGAAGATTGATTTTTCCATGTACTGTAATATTATCTAATCTATGTGGCAACATGATTTCATTTTGGGACATCCCCAACCTTTTTTTGTGCACACATGGATTTCATAAGGCGGCGAGAAGTCAGCACTGAACATCAGGCATCAGTGGCAACATGTACAACACTGATTAAGTTACATACAGCATGGGGATGGGGAATGTGTGTGTGTGTGTGTGTGTGTGTGTGTGTGTGTGTGTGTGTGTGTGTGTGTGTGTGTGTGTGTGTGTGTGTGGAGGTAAGTAAGTAAAAATATTTATTTGTATATCACTTTCAAGATCAATATAACAATGAAATGCTAGAACATAATTACAAAAGGCTCCAGCCTCCTCGTGAGCCTGAGTTGGATAAACAGAAGAAAATGGATGGATTGACCAAAAGCTAGTGGGTTCCTTGCTTTTGGTCGGTGGGTTGTAAAGTGGCTTGCATTTGCACAGTAACTGTGGTCAGGCTATATGTCTGTGAAGGTTCTCAGTCATCCAGGTCATCGTAGTCAAAGGAGCTTGGAAAGAAAAGCGTCTGGACTTCTTTAAGTAGCTTGAAGACGTTTCACCTCTCATTCGAGAAGCTTCTTCAGTTCTCTGAACTTAGACTGTGGCCAGGCTAAAGCAGCCAAAGTAAAGCACCTTATATCACTTGTGTAAATTTGCACCATCAGCTGATGTGTCCTAGCACTGACTGCAGCCGAGCTTCACGTTGTATCCTCCAAGAACTAACACCACATTTGATGACCATCTCAATCCAATTAAGCCAGCACTTCTGGCTGCCACTTGCAAAGCTGCCTTTAAAACATTGAGCCAGACTCCCAGCCACCACACAGGAACAATGAGTATCTGCCAATCACATCACCTCCCCCTGACATTTTTTCTATTTTCACATTCATGCTTTTGCTTCACTCTGCTCGTCTTTTCCACTCACTGAAGATCACTGAGACATTTTCTCCAGGAACCATCAGAAGGCATGAGTGTAGGAGGTGAGGCTACGGTCGTTCAAATTAGAATTGATTAACCATGCGGTGTGGGAGGCGTGCATGTTTGTCTCAGGCACTTGCTTTTGGGCGTCTCTTCTTGGGCTGTGTATGTGTGTTTGGGATGTGGACAGACGAGATGGCAGCCAAGAGGCAACCTGTTGCTCTGACTCTCAGTTTTTAGTGGAAGTGAGCAAAAAGTCTGCACTCCAAGAGCTGAGCATCTATCTGCAGCACACATCTGGCCTGACAGGCGGGTTTTACTGCTTCGAATGAAGAATTTAACTGATGACGCTGAAGGAGATTTCCAGAAGTAACTATTCTTAA